ATTGTCAGTTCTGACACCAGGAGAAGGGGCACATTTCATTTCTGAGGACAATGTGATTACATTTCTGTACCACCCAACAGCTGAAGTCTAGGCAGTTTACAACAATTTAAAGCCATAAAATATAATAAAGGATTTAAAATGGACTGAAACAATTCTGGGGAAAATAGGGTCTTCCCTGGCACAAGAAAGGGTGTGTTATAGGTGCCAGGTAAACCTGTGTGAGAAACTCATTCCATATCCAGGGTGTCGCAACAGAAAATCCCCTCTTCTTAGTAGCCACCCACTTTATTTCCTTTAGCAGAGGCCCCCATGGGACTGTTGAGGACAATCTTAGGATATACATGGGAGAAAATGCTCCTTCAGATAACCAGGCCCCAAGCCATTTAGGACTTCAAATATTAATACCAGCATTTTGAATTGGATCTGGACATAGCCTGTAGCCTGTTTAGATGGTAAAATACTGGCCTGGTATGATTGCACTGGCCAGCTCCCTTTTTAGCAGTCACTGTTTCAGTGCAGTTGGAGCTTCTGAACCCTTCCAAACACAGCACCATTTAAAATTAAACCCCATTGTGGTAATCTAACTGAAAGGCACCAGAGTATCCATGACTAGGCTAGGGACTCTCGTCCAGAGAAGGACATAGTTGGCAGATCAGCTGGTAAAAGGTGCAGAAATCACCAGGACAAAGTTTTTTATGTGACCGTTCCATCTATTCTACTCTATGAAATGTGAAAATGTGCATCAGCTGTTCCCCTGGAATGTCCAGAGCAGTACAGTTAGAAAACTGGATGATTGAAGAAATGCATCTTAATGATAAGACGTTGGTTCCAAACTGAATACCCTTCCCCCTTTCAAACAGGAAAGAGCAAATGACACCATCGAGGCTTCTCAGCTGGTCTGTCCTTTTAATGTGTCTTCGTAACCTTGGATTAATAATAGTGGTTCCATCCCCTCCTGTATCAGCTTGCTCACTGAGCTTTCCCACAGAACTTGAAGCTGACTGATTCTCAGTAGCTTATCTCTGAGACCACTGGCCCTGGCAATTCAGCTGTGGATTCTGTGGTCTTCTCTTTGTTTGAGTCATAATCTGATTCCACAACCAACCTTTGAAGGCTTTTGTACAGGAGGATTGGCTCAAGTTCAAGGGAACTTCAGGATACAGCCAGTCAGTCTTTGGCAGCAGAGCCAGGACCTCCCAACAGCCAGGACATCCCTCCTGTTATTCTGCTCCCACAGCAGGAGAGCTTACCATTGGAGCCAGAGGAAAAATCACCTCTCAGTCCTTGAATAGGACATCTGCTGAAAAGGAAGATCCAGACATTCCCTTGAAGGAGGAATACTCACCTGCAAGCTAAGTCCCCAGAATATTGAAAGAGCTTTATTCAGGAGCAAGACATTAAAAGTGACCACAGACTGCCTGCAACTGTATGGGTGAGGGTATGGCTCAGCCCAACCAGCACGGAAAGATTATTTTGGAGGAGAACTGCACTAGGAAACATATGCCAAAACTTCTGATTATAAAATGTTTCTTTGACACCTTGAAACCCTGAATTGCTGACTATGCTACAGCCTATTCCCAACAAGTGACAGATTTATGGTACTTACTTCAACCCTCTCATGGTAAACTTCTTGGCTTGTGATTTATAACCTCGTTGTAACTGACCTTGGACTGTTAACTATTGCTTTTGGCTATAACCCTCTGAACCAGTAGTATGGGCTATGGCAAACTGACATCTAGTATACCATCTGTGAGATTTGTTGCTATTATTGTTACATGTTATGCACAACGCATGATCCATTTACACTAATGCAGTTATTAGAAGAATGCAAATACGCAGCAGTGATACTATGGTACAACTATTTTTTACTAAAAAATTGAAGGTCTTGATAAAGGCATGAGGTTTTGCAATCTATTAATGTTACCTGTTAAAAGGTTAAATGAAAACAAGACCTGTATAAAAGAGAATCTTTTACTGCAAAGACAAGTCATAGAACCTGGATCAGCCACTTACTTGTAAGAAGGGGACATTTTACAATCCCATTAAGGATGAAGACAATTGAACCTGCATAGGGATTTTCTAAATTACAGGGAACACTACTTACTCCTTGCATATACACTTAGTTGGGAACTTAGTTATACACATAGCTGGGTACAACAAGCACAATGACAATCTAAAGAATATCCACAGTATCCAACAGTGTCATTCTGCAAGCTCTGCAAAGCTGGAGCCCCTCCACCATATCTTTCTGTAGGTGTGCATTACACTTTTGCAACTGCTTGAACAAGTTTAATGCACAGTGGCATAACTGCTCGTGCAAAAGTAATGCCTAAGCATGTTTGTGGAAATAAAGCTTTAGCCAAACTCTACTGTTATGCAAAGTTGGAACCTAATTTTCACCAGCACAGTGTTATTTGTGCTACTGGCATAACACAACGTGATACTGTCCAAAGACTTTTGCATAGGGAATTCATACAACATTTAAACTAATATTCAAGGAAAATACCTACACAATCAAGCTGTACATGGAAGGCTTTGAATTTTAATCTTAATGCAGCTTGGTTCCAGGCTCTGTTGTAACTTCCTTCATAGGGTGCCTTTACACTCAGTTGCAGTCTCTGATTTAAAAGGAATTGCATACTGTTTCTTGAAAACATTGTCATGGTATCTCTAGCAGCAACTGCCAGATCTTGTGAATGAAAACTTGCCAGTAAGAAGGAGTGATCAATGATGCATGCTTCAAATTATATCTACAAATTTGCAGAGTTTTGGGATAGCAGGTGGACCCTAAAGAAAGCGGTTTCAAGTAGAAACTTTCAAAACAGAACACAAATTGGCTATTATGTTTACAAGCATTAATCTGTCCATATTTGTTCAGAAGTAAGTCAAATAATTATATATCCCATTTTCCACCAAGTGACATATTAAATAGTCAGCATATGAGTTGTACGGTGGATTATGGCCACTGTCATTATAATTGATAGCCACTGAGAGCCAGTGTGGTATAGTGGTTAAGACTGTGGGACTGGGACCAGGCAGTGTAGGTTCTAGTCCCCACTCAGTCATGGAGATAACTGGACAACTTAGGGCCTGTCACGGACTCTCAGCCCAACCTTCTTTACAGGGTTATCATTGTAAGGATAGGAATGAGAGGAGAATTACCATATTTTTCGCTATATAAGATGCACATTTTCCCCCTCAAAAGTAAGGGGAAATGTCTGTGCGTCTTATAGAGCGAATATGTGTGTGCAGTAAGTCTGTCAGATGTGCAGCATGGTGTGCCCGATGCCCAGGACATGTCATACCACCACCGGGACGCTGCCGTCCTGCCTGCACCACATGGCACCACCTGGCTGGCACGCGCTTGGCGTGCCCTGCTCCGCCCCCCCTTCTGGCGTAAGTGAGAGCTGTGTCACTCAGGAGGAGGGGTGCGGAGGAGGAGGAGCCGCGGGCTTTAAACTGCGGGCCACCACAGAGAGACGGACTGGGATGGACTGCCCACCCCCACCACCCACAGGTCGGTGTGTTTTCAAATGGCAACCCGTCTTTTAATGAAGCCCATGGGGAAGTGATGGGGAATGTGCCTGTGATTATCAGGAAGCTTTCCATGGATCAGAACGGTGCCTGCTTTATTAAGTTAATAGAAGGACCAATATCTGTTAATTGATCAGACACATTTTTTTTTAGGATCAGTGGATATTTGAACAGCATTACCTTCGTGTATGAAGTTTATTCTTCAAAGGCTACTTAGTCTACTGTGTGTTTGATTTACCGTACAATATCTCATTTTTTGTCAGAAGTTTTTTTTCTATTATTTACTAGTAGGGCAGCGTGGACATTACTGGCTTTTTTAGATTTGTTATTGAATTGTCTGCAGCAGCTCTTGTATAACTGGTGTAGATTGTGGATTCCTTCAATAATTCCACTACTGACTGTGAATTTTTTGAGATTCAGCAGCGCAGATAGTAACAGCATTTTATTCTAGATTAAATGTGTCTGCTGAGTACGGTAATAAATGTCATGTGGAATGTTCTGTGTGTCATCATCTGGCCGATAGACTGTCACTGGGAAATGTCATACTGTATATTACTATACAGCTGAAATGTATTGTCCTTGTACATGTATAGTCCTTGTACAGAGTGAATACGGTATACCATATCATTTGACCATTTTGCACAGAGGTTTTCTGGTACATTACTGACAGTTCCTTCATCACTGTATCTTCTTGCAGAAAACCTCCCCCATTCTACATACAAGGATGATAAAGCAGAAAAGACTAGCATATAAGATTCCTTTTAAACTAGAGGTAGTAAACTATGCTAAGGAACATGGAAACAGAGCAGCGGAGAGACATTTTGGGCCACCTCCAACTAAAAAAATGATAAGAGAGTGGAGGATACAGGAGGATCAGCTGCAAAAAGTGAATAAAAGTAAGCACACTTTTCATGGGAATTCTGCAAAGTGGCCACAGTTAGAGGTGGCCATGAAAGAATGGATCACACATCACCAGAATAATGGCTTCTCAGTCTCTACAAAAATGATAATACATGAAGCCAAACACATTGCTGCAGAGAAAGGCATTCACAATTTTACTGGATCACCATCGTGGTGCTACAGATTTATGAGACGATGTGGCCTTGCTATGCGCACCAAAACTAGAATTGTGCAAAAAATGCCAAAAGAATATGAATCTAAGTTTCTGTCTTTTCAGAAATTTGTAATTGATGCTAGGAAGAAAAATGGGGTTGAAATTGGCCAGATTGGGAATATGGATGAAGTCCCGCTAACCTTTGATGTGCCATCTAATAGGACTGTTGATTTGAAAGGTGCCAAAACCTTTCACCATGAAAACCTCTGGACATGAGAAAACTCATTACACGGTTGTGTTGTCTTGCTGTGCAGATGGCACCAAATTGCCACCTATGTTAATTTTCAAAAGGAAAACATTTCCAAAAGAAGTGATTCCAAGAGGAGTTGTACATGTTCATGAGAAAGGATGGATGGACGAAAATGAAATGAGAGTATGGGTTGAAAAAGTGTGGTCCAAATGTCCTGGACGGCTTCTGAAAAAACCTGCCTTATTAGTGCTTGACCAGTTTAGAGCACATATTAGCGAAACTACAAAAAAGTGCTTTAAAGAAATGAAGACTCATCTAGCTGTAATTCCTGGAGGTCTTACCAGCCAGTTGCAACCTCTCGACGTTTCCATCAACAAACCATTTAAGGTCTTTATGCAAGAAGAGTGGAACAAATGGATGGCTGCTGGTAATCATGATCTGACACCTACTGGACGAATGAAGAGGCCCACTATCACTCAAGTTTGTGAATGGGTGAAAACATCATGGCACTCAGTGAAGGAGGAAATCATTGTACAGTCATTAAAAAAATGTGGAATTAGCAATGCTTTGGATGGAACCGAAGATGGTATCTTATATGAAGATAGTAAAGAAAGTGATGTTAGTGATTGTGAGCAACAGAGCTTCATAAATTCTGACTGTAGAGATGATGAGTTCTATGGGTTCAACGAAAACTAGAAGAGTACTCGAACTTTAAAGTCTCTCTTTTGTTAATGACAGTGATGATGGTTCTTAATGCCACTGTTGACTGCTGTTCACTTTACAAGGTTGAAATACGGTATTACTGAATTCTGTTACAGTTTATTAAATAGTTTAGTAAACCATTTGATTCAGAATACTTTTTTTCTTGTTTTCCTCCTCTAAAAACTAGGTGCGTCTTATGGTCAGGTGCATCTTATAGAGCGAAAAATACAGTATAAGCCACCTTGAGTCCTTCAGAGGGTAAAGGTGGGATATAAATATAATAAGTAAATAAATAAAATCTGACATGAAAGAGAACTATAACATTGGGCAGTATCCATAATGCTGCTGCATTTCAGTTTGTTCCATTGCATCAGCAAGACCCATAACTTAGCTCAGAGAAGATTAGCACTGCCTAGAGTACGTCTAAGTTCCTTCTATAAGCCGAGCTGAGTTGCTCATTCTGCAAATGAGCATTTCAATGATTTCTGATTGCATTAAGCACCATGATCGCCTTGTTGTACTAGTGAAGGGGCCTGCTGACACATGCAGCATAGAAAATGCCCAATGATTGAGAGCATTTTTACTCTCTTAGAAACCTGGAGTTATTGCTATAAATATATTATTCTACTATTATAACCCATTCACTGTTATAATCTCTTTGCTACTTACTGTTGGCTGTCATCAAGTCGCTAAGATTAACCTTTAATATCATCTTTCCACAGAAGTCACCATGGCAGTATTTAAGAATCAAATACAACAATAGTAGTGTAAAAACATAACTATTATTATAATTCCTATTACTTTTATCATCATTATTGGTATCATTTCTATACCACTCAATAGTCAAGGCTGTCTGGCAAAAAATTACAAATCGCAAATACAAAATAGTAATAATATAATATATTTTTTTTACAATACCCACTTAGAAAACAATTTAATCAACTGAAACAGTTGCAGTTTCATCACACAATGAAACTTTTAAAATATTATGTGTCCTGGAAAACTTCATATGTACATGTAGCTTTAGTCCTCATAGGAAAAAGGTGAGGACTTTGAATTTCATACACAGAGTTTTAACAGTACAGGTATATTACTATCCTACCCAGAAATTACTTGTTCTTGATGAAGGAATCATAAACCATGAACAACACTGGGATACCTAGAAATATTATTTCTGTGCCAGTGAAGGGTTTTTTGTTTTTGGATAAGGCTTAGGAAATTTGGACCAAAACACTAGAGGATATTTCCCCAAAACATTACCTTTGCTTGAATATTTCACTAGCCATTGTGCTGAAAGAAGGAAATGGAGGGGAGATATTCATGCATAAAGCTGTGGAGGAAAATTCATCCAGTTTTATTTATTGCAAGACTAGCCCACAGCCTGTTGGTTCATGGGCTTATTTGCTTCAACCCATGAAGCCAGATAGGCCAGTGGTACTGCTATTGGACCAATCAATAGAAATCCCTTAAAAGGGTAACTCCACTCATCCCTTTCTAGCATTTGTTAGCCTACCTATCAGCACCATGTTGGAGATTAGCCAGTAGCCAGCTACAGCTGAGTAAAATGCAGCGGTTGTTTCCACAGATGACTATAAGAAAGCTTCTATATTGTACGGTGCACTGGAGCAAGTAATTTAGCTTAGTTTGTTTTATTATGTTGGCTAGAATTGACAGGTTCAATACGTGCTGAAGAGAATTAAGTGCAGGTCAGGCTGCTGTGCACCCTGAGCTTGACTGGTAAAGGTCACCTGTTCAACATATAAGGGAAAGGAGATGCTCTGGTTGCTGTATCCCATCTAAGAGTCTCTAGCTAGGTAAAGAAAAGGTGCCAGGTGCCTTGTTGGGACAACTGTATAGGTGAGCACAGGAAGAAAAAATATGGATCAGTTAGTATTTGGAGGCAGGATAATCTTGTTGACACATCTTTATGAGCAAACAGGCAAAGAAAAGCGGGGATCAGTTAGGTCTTGAAAGTAAAGTAAAGGGGCGCATTTTAAGGCACACAGTAGGATGGAGTCCTCTTTGCTCTCACCTTAAGTAGCAGATCACTTGCAATGTATTATGGAGTTGACTGAGTGCCACAGAGCTCCTGCTTGCTGTAGGTCCTTGTATGTTTCAAGAGTTTTGTGACCCTAACATCACATAGGCCTCAATTAGGGGTGGGGGGATGGGAACAGTGAAATGGGAAGGTGCCAAGCATTTTATCTTATTCATTAAATGGGCAGGTGAATAGGAAAGCAATTCAAGTAAGAGAGCAAGTGGTGCTTCAGTGAGAGACTTTGGTTGTTTAATCACGCACCTTCAATGACAGAGTCTTGGGGGGGGGGGGGGGGATCAGACATTGTGATCTTCCATTTGTAGCCTTTCCTGGTTTTTTTGCTGTTGCTGCTTCTGGCCTTTTTCTTACCAGAAAAATGTATGTAAAGGAAAATACTGAAGCCTTATTGATGTGTTATAAATGTAGTGAAACTCACTATGTGGACAGGACTGGGGTCATGTGTAGTAGCCCTGCCCATAGGCATCTACACACACTGTGAGAAAGTCTCCAGTGGAGAGGTGTGCAGTATTATGCGCTTAGTCTTCTGTGTGATTTGGAACCAATCATTCAGGATTCTGGATTCTGCAGAAGCCTTCAGACATATAGCTTTATATCCATTGACCTCCATACTGCTGAATTTCACATTATACCCTTATAAGAGGTTGCTCCAGACAAGGCACTCTACTTTAGGTTCAAAGATACTTAGGAGAACACGAGCCCACCAGCATCAGTGATATATGCAGTAAGCTGTATATTGAACACAGTGATAAAATATGGATGTAGAGGCAAAAAAAGGTGTAGATCCTTCCGTTGTCTCTGGATTTCCTGAACATGCCAGGATGCTCCGTGATCCTAAAAGGTTCCTGAGTGTGGAGCATACAAATTCCTTCTCTCCAGCCAAGAATGAAGGACAAGGGCTCTTGCCATGGGTTTTATATGATTTCTGTCTCCTGCTATTGTAGAACCCATCAGGATGCTCACTTCCTTCATTGGGTCTTGCATGGAGGTTAGGGTGCCTTCAACGTGCCCCTCCCTCCTGATCCTGTCACACATGCCTTCAGGAAAGCTTCTGAACTTCAGGAATGTTCTCTACACTGTCCAGTTTATCTCAAGAATCGCTTCACCATTTTTCCAGTAGAATAGACATGCATGAATGCCTGCAGCAGAGCTACAATGAGACAGAACATCAGGTTCCATTACTGTTCTCCTGGTGAGCTCACTACTTTTTATAATGCATGACCAGGCATATAATGTTGCACTATGCCTTTGGGCTGTAGAGATAAAAACTCTCCATCTGGAAGAACCCAAGTTCATCTGATTGCTGCTGCCCATAATCAATTCTCTTTCTTATGCCCCTGGGCAACTGTTAAGGGTAAGATAGTCAAAGGATCTTATCCTTAACAGATATTCAAAGATCTTATCCTTAAATCATTGCCAAACTTGAGTAGTTCAGGTGTACCATTCTGATATCCCATCTGTGCCTGGTCCGAGCTGAGATCAAACTAGTAAAACAGTAACATTTATCCAATTTATAACATGTTAAATTCACTCAGAAGCTCTGTAAGAAAGGTGTTGATTTAGAAACAGGAACCACCATGTAAGAAATTGTGACCAATTATGACTCTAATAAAAATACCTTTCAGCCTTTTAACTGATTCCTACCTTGGTCCATAACACATTAGCTACAGAAGATTGCAGCAAACCAGAGAGAGAATGGGAAAATACTAGTGCAGAAAAAGACGGAGGCCCTAGACCTTCCCACTAATTACTTTAGGAGATCTGAATCAATACACTGTGGAATAAAGCTAACCAATTGGCACATATGACTAGGCAGTGCAGCGATAAGGAAGGTCCAATATGCAAGATCTCCCTGAATCTGCAGAGCAGTCACTTTTTCTCCCATCTGACCTCCAACACCAGCACCAGTAAGGCTTTATCTCAAAGCAAGACTAACTGTTAAAATGGAGAAAAAAACATTCTGAATAAAATGGAATGAATATAGAACAGCTTGTTGTAGCAATTACAGTCAGGTTAAAGTCATTTCATTTAAGAACTCTATAGCCAGATAGCTAATCCTTTTCATCAGCATTTTATTTAAGCTTTAAAGATTTATGTGGAGATATTTCCTTGTAGCTTATACCCAGCTGAAAAGGCTGAAAGCTTAAGATTAAGCCAGATAGCTATTCATACACTTGATTATTAACTGGCAGGAAATGGTCAATTTGTAAGCATTAAATGCCATTCTAACTAGCAAGAATGCAAGATTGTCCATGGAAAATAAAGTAACTTCCTTTTCCATGTGGCAATGAAGGGAAAACTTGTGTGTTTTTGGTTAATACATTTGTTTCTGAACTGCTGTACTTAGGTACAAATTAAAGTGCCCTGGGTGAATAAGAATATGCTTTTCTTGGCTTAAAATGCAGTAATGGCTTCTGGGCACATGCAGCCTGCCCCATGTGTGTTTCACTCCAATGGAAATTGTTTCCTCCAAGTATGTGTCTTTAGGACTTAGCTGTAATGTACACAGCTCCCCTGGGATGAGGCTTTCCTGCATGTGCATCCATCCTCTTCTCTGTCATCTTTCTAAAGGCAGGCAAAGACAGTTTTATTTATTTTTAATGCATAAGGAAAGCCTTTCTGGATCAGTCCAAGGATCTATCTAGTCCAGAATTCTCTTCTCTCAGTGACCAACTACTTACCCAAGGGAAACCCAAAAGCAGGACCTGAATGCAATAGCAGCCTCCCGTCTAAGACTCCAGTAACTAGTACACATAGGCATACTTTAGGAACTAAGACCTTTTAAACTGCAATCCTATAAACAGTTACCTGGGAGTAAGTTTCATTAAACTCAGCACCACTAGGATTGCTCATCACTGACTCCTGTTTAA